GGATGGAAAATCAGTATAACACCGTGCAGAACTGCGCGACAACAAGGGAAACATTTTAGTGGTGAATGCATTTGAGTAAGACGCACAAGTGCTGAACATACACAAAAAGCGAACGCAAAACAATGAATATGCACCAGGGAGTATCCTGGTAACGGCAAGGGGAAGGGCAGAAACCGAAAGGAAGGCGGCAAGGGAAACGGCGGCGGAAGAGACAACAGGAAGGGCGGAAGCGGAAAGGGCGGCGGGATCGGTGGCGGAATTCTGGGAGCGCTGACTGGCGGAAACTCGACGAGCGGATGGGGCGCGGGAGGCATAGGGCTGCTACGACTGGCACCGCAGCGCTGACGCTTGTCAAAGCAGAAAAAAGGCCGCAGAAGTGGAAATGGCGAGTTATTGGGAGTGAGGGCTGAAGTTTTCTTGACTCGAACTCAGATAAGCAAGAGCCTTGGTGCTCTAGCGGGGTGGTGAGCAGGGCAACTTCGCTGCTGTGCTGGTTCACCAGGCAAGCTTCAAATTGCGAAGCTTGCAAGGTGACAACGGTTGTGATTCGTCGCCTCGATGGCTCACCCGCCGCCACCTCTCATATCGTCAAAGAAGGATGTGCACCAGCTGCGGTGGCAAAAGCGTGAGCAAGGATTGGTTGCAAATGAAATTGCCGCGACAGCTGTCAAGTGTAGCCTTACAACATTTCAGCTACCCAGAGGAGGGTCGCGTGGATATCTCGTCAGTAACAAGCAGAAGAGTCAAGATGTACAATATTGTGTGCTTACATACAGATTACATTTCAGAAGGTGTCTCACAGACATTCCATATTGAAAGCCACAGAATTGGCTAAGTGGTGGGATTTTTTTTTACGGTGTTTTTTAAATGCTCATTATTTATTTATGTATCCTTTACCATACTACAATCGAAAACTTTGCAAAACAACACTTTTAAGAGTGGTTTGTGGCTCCAAATGCCCGCCTATTCAATACCTTTCAAGGGTGGTAACCACTTGGTGTGTGGTCCAAAACATCATTTTGATGGCTCTACCGTTTCCCTTGGACCTCCTCTACTGTTCTCGAATGGAAATTTTTTTGGTGAAATTCGGTGAAACCAACATATCAAGCTATACCAACAAAGCTCCTAGCACTTGACAACTCATTCTCTGGCTATCATTAACATGTGTTTATTTCAAGGATGTTAATTTGGGGTTCAGAACTATGTGCTGCGTCTATGACCTACTATGGTGGCAGTCTTCATCCATATGTTTGGTTGTTTCACTACCGTGCATGATATTTCGACGAAATTGCATGTTTTTACGACAAACAAGCGTCACGTGCTGCGTAGTTGTGCGAATGAACTCAAACCAGTTCCTATGGCTAGTGAAATGGATAAACTAGGGAAATGTGTGAAGAAATAGTGCTAAAAACAACATATAGACGATGAAACAGTGACATGTTGCGTACTGGCCTATCCTTGCACAGATTCAGGCCATCAAACGTGCAAACAAGCGTCACGTGCTGCGTAGTTGTGCGAATGAACTCAAACCAGTTCCTGTGGCTAGGGAAATGGATAACCTAGGGAACTGTGTGAAGAAATAGGGCTAAAAACAACATATAGGTGACGAAACGGTAGCATGTTGCGTACTGGCCTATCCTTGCACAGATTCAGGCCATCAAACGTGCAAACAAGCGTCACGTGCTGCGTAGTTGTGCGAATGAACTCAAACCAGTTCCTGTGGCTAGGGAAATGGATAAACTAGGGAAATGTGTGAAGAAATGGGGGTGGAACCATCACCCAGATGGTGAAACGGTGACATGTGGCGCACGGGCCTGACTTTGCACAGTTCCCTGGCATCGTACGCACAAACAAGCGTCACGAGCTGCGTAGTTGGGCGAACGATGCGAAACAACTTCCTTTGGCCTTGTAATAGGTCCTTTTAGGAAACAGTGTGAAGAAACGGGGGTGGAACCATCAACCAGACGACGAAACGGTGACATGTTGCGTACTGGCCTATCCTTGCACAGTTCCAGGCCATCAAACGCACAAACAAGCGTCACGTGCTGCGTAGTTGTGCGAATGAACTCAAACAAGTTCCTATGGCTTGGTAATTGGTCCTACTAGGGAACAGTGCAAAGAAACGGGGGTGGAACCATCATCCAGACGGTGAAACGGTGACATGTGGCGCACGGGCCTGTCTTTGCACAGTTCCCTGGCATCGTACGCACAAACAAGCGTCACGAGCTGCGTAGTTGGGCGAACGATGCAAAACAACTTCCTTTGGCCTTGTAATAGGTCCTTCTAGGAAACAGTGTGAAGAAACGGGGGTGGAACCATCACCCAGACGGTGAAACGGTGACATGTGGCGCACGGGCCTGTCTTTGCACAGTTCCCTGGCATCGTACGCACAAACAAGCGTCACGAGCTGCGTAGTTGGGCGAATGATGCGAAAAAACTTCCTTTGGCCCTGTATTAGGTCCTTCTAGGGAACAGTGTGAAGAAACGGGGGTGGAACCATCAACCAGATGACGAAACGGTGACATGTTGCGCACGGGCCTGTCTTTGCACAGTTCCCTGGCATCGTACGCACAAACAAGCGTCACGAGCTGCATAGTTGGGCGAACGAGGTCAAAAAAGTTCCTATGGCTTGGTAATTGGTCCTACTAGGGAACAGTGCAAAGAAACGGGGGTGGAACCATCATCCAGACGGTGAAACGGTGACATGTGGCGCACGGGCCTGTCTTTGCACAGCTCCATGGCATCGTACGCACAAACAAGCGTCACGAGCTGCGTAGTTGGGTGAACGATGCGAAACAACTTCCTTTGGCCTTGTAATAGGTCCTTCTAGATAACAGTGTGAAGAAACGGGGGTGGAACCATCAACCAGACGAAGAAACGGTGACATGTTGCGCACAGCCCATCCTCGCACGGATACCAAGCATCCAACGCACGAACAAGCGTCACGAGCTGCGTAGACTGAAGTAACCTATTGTGTGATTATAAAATGCTAAAAACACAATTATATACAAGAATGATGGTACATCGACTACGACCAAGTATTTAATAATTTTAGAAAACGTGTCAAATAGTTAATAATATAATAAAAGTTTGCATAAAAAGCATTGGCAAGATATTGGCAATGTTCACACTAGCATTGGCAAGATATTTGTTTCACTAATATCTCAATATCCACCGAATTATAATACCATGCGGGTTGACAAAAAAATGTAACATTACCAATTTAAGTTTAATAGCACTGTTTGTTACAACTTCATGAAATATGAAAAGCGCGATAAACAGTTTGTTACCACGAAACCATCCAGCTGGGCCTGCGGAGTTGACTTCAAGTGCCCAGAAACACGCGCACCACTTCGAAAAACACGCAACACCCTAACAACACTCCCACGAATCATGCGAGCAACATTCTCGCATGATTCCCAACCCCTGAAAGACGAGGAAGATGCAAACAAGATTCGCGCATGTCACAATCCCCTCCCCCCTGTTTTGCGATGAAGAGGGGGAGATTTGGAATCATGAGGGAAATGGGGGAGTTTGGTAAAGTGGGGTAGAGTGAGGTAGAGCGGGGGAAAGTGAGAGGCGAGGAGAGGTAGGTAGGGGGAGGAGTGAGCGACCTTGGGCGTCGTTGATGCGAGTGGCGGCAGCAGGGCACGGCGGCAGTAGAAGCAGCCCCGCCAGCAGCAGCAGCGGCAGGCGGAGGTGCAGCAGCGGCGGAGGGAAGGAGAAGCTGCGCCGGTCTTGGTCGCCCATGACTCTATAGACGGAAAGAAGGCAGGCAAGACGTGGTAAGCTGAGCAACGTGTGCAGTGGAGGTGTGGTGAGGGTGACGGTCGTGCAGACGGCTGCTGATGCAGCGGCCACGGTTGAGTCGTTGTGCCACTTTTAAGAATTCTCGGAGCTGCTGTCGCGGTTGGTGTTGCTCGGGCCGCCTGGGAAAGGCTGAGCCTGTTCCCAAGATTTGTATTTGCAGTCTAAATTTGACTGTGCGAAACGCTTTGGCGGACACAGAATCCACACGACTAGAGAAATTTTCAGCACCTTGAAATTCGACTCGACTTGGAGGTCACCGTGTTTCGAGATACTTGGACATGAGCCGCCTGCCATATACTACATCACAAAAATGCGTGTGTCTGAAAATCATCTAACATTCGCGGCAGCCTATCGTACGTTTGACAATCGTTTGAAAAACGTACAGGGAAACTCTAAAAAACGTTTGCCTTCGGCGGAATGTTTTCCAGTCACATTCTGAATGTTTGCTCCTAACTATTTCTTGCTTGTGCGTAGGATTAGGGTTCCGGGCCTAACAGATAGTCGAGCATGTCTCTTCGCGAGGGAGCAGATAGCGAGAAATTTGATTCTCTCCAAGAATTCCTCGTTTAGGCTTTTGTGTACCATTTGTTACATTCATGACATTTGCACTTATGTTTCTTTGAATATGATGATGTAATTTTCTCTATGTAAATAGTGCTTCCAAGAGTCATGTTTAACTATTTGAAGGAAATTTTACACCTATTATATTCTTACAAGGCCTAAAAAGAACATAGTCAGGGAACAATTTCATGTTTACAAAAGTCACAATGCGTCAAAGTTCTCTACGTGTGCTAGACCTCACCAAACGAATCTATTAAGAAGGCTCACTTCATCGTCCTCACATGAGGGAACAATGTGTACGAGACTGAGAATGCAGTCGACATCAATCACTGCAAAATCATCCTTGCCCTCTGTGGGTAGAAGGCGCTTGCATCCCGTTGACGGGCATAGTCGCTTGTCCTCGGTGTAATACTCCACGTATGCTCCGCGCCTCAGCTCCCCATCTTTGTTGTAGTGAAACAGGACAAGACAACGGCCGTACCAGGGGGACCCCTTCCCTGCAGGGTTGATTGCAACAGATGAGAAGTTCTTCTCGCCCGGGCTAGCCTTGACAAAATGCCCCCTTGACGTCCATTCCATCTTGTCGTGAGGCGGAATCGCAAGTGCCGTGTGCACCTGAAACCACGAGCATGAACCAAGACAATGTGAAAGCAGCGAAAGAGGCGGTGGAGAGCATAGCGAAAGGGGGAAATTGGCAAAGGGCTGGAGTGGGTGGAAAAGCAGGTTGGAGAGGAGGAAGGGGGGCTGGAGTGGGTGGAAAGCATTTTGGAGAGGGGGAAGGGGGGCTGGAGTGGGTGGAAAGCATGCAGGAGAGGGGGAAAGGGGGCTGGAGTGGGTGGAAAGCATGCAGGAGAGGGGGAAGGGGGGCTGGAGTGGGTGGAAAGCATTTTGGAGAGGGGGAAGGGGGGCTGGAGTGGGTGGAAAGCATGCAGGAGAGGGGGAAGGGGGGCTGGAGTGGGTGGAAAAGCATGCAGGAGAGGGGGAAGGGGGGCTGGAGTGGGTGGAAAGCATGCAGGAGAGGGGGAAGGGGGGCTGGAGTGGGTGGAAAGCATGCAGGAGAGGGGGAGGGGGGGCTGGAGTGGGTGGAAAGCATGCAGGAGAGGGGGAAGGGGGCCTGGAGTGGGTGGAAAGCATGCAGGAGAGGGGGAAGGGGGGCTGGAGTGGGTGGAAAGCATGCAGGAGAGAGGGAAGGAGGGCTGGAGTGAGTGGAAAGCATGCAGGAGAGGGGGAAGGGGGGCTGGAGTGGGTGGAAAGCATGCAGGAGAGGGGGAAGGGGGGCTGGAGTGAGTGGAAAGCATGCAGGAGAGGGGGAAGGGGGGCTGGAGTGGGTGGAAAGCATGCAGGAGAGGGGGAAGTGCGGCTGGAGTGAGTGGAAAGCATGCAGGAGAGGGGGAAGGGGGGCTGGAGTGGGTGGAAAGCATGCAGGAGAGGGGGAAGTGGGGCTGGAGTGGGTGGAAAGCATGCAGGAGAGGGGGAAGGGGGGCTGGAGTGGGTGGAAAGCATGCAGGAGAGGGGGAAGGGGGGCTGGAGTGAGTGGAAAGCATGCAGGAGAGGGGGAAGGGGGGCTGGAGTGGGTGGAAAGCATGCAGGAGAGGGGGAAGTGCGGCTGGAGTGAGTGGAAAGCATGCAGGAGAGGGGGAAGGGGGGCTAAAGTGGGTGGAAAGCATGCAGGAGAGGGGGAAGGGGGGCTGGAGTGGGTGGAAAGCATGCAGGAGAGGGGGAAGTGCGGCTGGAGTGAGTGGAAAGCATGCAGGAGAGGGGGAAGGGGGGCTGGAGTGGGTGGAAAGCATGCAGGAGAGGGGGAAGGGGGGCTGGAGTGGGTGGAAAGCATGCAGGAGAGGGGGAAGGGGGGCTGGAGTGGGTGGAAAGCATGCAGGAGAGGGGGAAGTGCGGCTGGAGTGAGTGGAAAGCATGCAGGAGAGGGGGAAGGGGGGCTGGAGTGGGTGGAAAGCATGCAGGAGAGGGGGAAGGGGGGCTGGAGTGGGTGGAAAGCATGCAGGAGAGGGGGAAGTAGGGCTGGAGTGGGTGGAAAGCATGCAGGAGAGGGGGAATGGGGGCTGGAGTGGGTGGAAAGCATGCAGGAGAGGGGGAAGTGGGGCTGGAGTGGGTGGAAAGCATGCAGGAGAGGGGGAAGGGGGGCTGGAGTGGGTGGAAAGCATGCAGGAGAGGGGGAAGGGGGGCTGGAGTGGGTGGAAAGCATGCAGGAGAGGGGGAAGTGGGGCTGGAGTGGGTGGAGAGCATGCAGGAGAGGGGGAAGGGGGGCTGGAGTGGGTGGAAAGCATGCAGGAGAGGGGGAATGGGGGCTGGAGTGGGTGGAAAGCATGCAGGAGAGGGGGAATGGGGGCTAAGGTGGGTGGAAAGCATGCAGGAGAGGGGGAAGGGGGGCTGGAGTGGGTGGAAAGCATGCAGGAGAGGGGGAAGTGGGGCTGGTGTGGGTGGAAAGCATGCAGGAGAGGGGGAGGGGGGCCTGGAGTGGGTGGAAAGCATGCAGGAGAGGGGGAAGTGGGGCTGGAGTGGGTGGAAAGCATGCAGGAGAGGGGGAATGGGGGCTGGAGTGGGTGGAAAGCATGCAGGAGAGGGGGAAGGGGGGCTAAAGTGGGTGGAAAGCATGCAGGAGAGGGGGAAGTGGGGCTGGAGTGGGTGGAGAGCATGCAGGAGAGGGGGAAGGGGGGCTGGAGTGGGTGGAAAGCATGCAGGAGAGGGGGAATGGGGGCTGGAGTGGGTGGAAAGCATGCAGGAGAGGGGGAATGGGGGCTAAGGTGGGTGGAAAGCATGCAGGAGAGGGGGAAGGGGGGCTGGAGTGGGTGGAAAGCATGCAGGAGAGGGGGAAGTGGGGCTGGTGTGGGTGGAAAGCATGCAGGAGAGGGGGAGGGGGGGCTGGAGTGGGTGGAAAGCATGCAGGAGAGGGGGAAGTGGGGCTGGAGTGGGTGGAAAGCATGCAGGAGAGGGGGAATGGGGGCTGGAGTGGGTGGAAAGCATGCAGGAGAGGGGGAAGGGGGGCTAAAGTGGGTGGAAAGCATGCAGGAGAGGGGGAAGGGGGGCTGGAGTGGGTGGAAAGCATGCAGGAGAGGGGGAAGTGCGGCTGGAGTGAGTGGAAAGCATGCAGGAGAGGGGGAAGGGGGGCTGGAGTGGGTGGAAAGCATGCAGGAGAGGGGGAATGGGGGCTGGAGTGGGTGGAAAGCATGCAGGAGAGGGGGAAGTGGGGCTGGAGTGGGTGGAAAGCATGCAGGAGAGGGGGAAGGGGGGCTGGAGTGGGTGGAAAGCATGCAGGAGAGGGGGAAGGGGGGCTGGAGTGGGTGGAAAGCATGCAGGAGAGGGGGAAGTGGGGCTGGAGTGGGTGGGGAGCATGCAGGAGAGGGGGAAGGGGGGCTGGAGTGGGTGGAAAGCATGCAGGAGAGGGGGAATGGGGGCTGGAGTGGGTGGAAAGCATGCAGGAGAGGGGGAATGGGGGCTAAGGTGGGTGGAAAGCATGCAGGAGAGGGGGAAGGGGGGCTGGAGTGGGTGGAAAGCTTGCAGGAGAGGGGGAAGTGGGGCTGGTGTGGGTGGAAAGCATGCAGGAGAGGGGGAGGGGGGGCTGGAGTGGGTGGAAAGCATGCAGGAGAGGGGGAAGTGGGGCTGGAGTGGGTGGAAAGCATGCAGGAGAGGGGGAATGGGGGCTGGAGTGGGTGGAAAGCATGCAGGAGAGGGGGAAGGGGGGCTAAAGTGGGTGGAAAGCATGCAGGAGAGGGGGAAGGGGGGCTGGAGTGGGTGGAAAGCATGCAGGAGAGGGGGAAGTGCGGCTGGAGTGAGTGGAAAGCATGCAGGAGAGGGGGAAGGGGGGCTGGAGTGGGTGGAAAGCATGCAGGAGAGGGGGAAGGGGGGCTGGAGTGGGTGGAAAGCATGCAGGAGAGGGGGAAGGGGGGCTGGAGTGGGTGGAAAGCATGCAGGAGAGGGGGAAGGGGGGCTGGAGTGGGTGGAAAGCATGCAGGAGAGGGGGAAGTGGGGCTGGAGTGGGTGGAAAGCATGCAGGAGAGGGGGAAGGGGGGCTGGAGTGGGTGGAAAGCATGCAGGAGAGGGGGAAGGGGGGCTGGAGTGGGTGGAAAGCATGCAGGAGAGGGGGAAGTGGGGCTGGAGTGGGTGGAGAGCATGCAGGAGAGGGGGAAGGGGGGCTGGAGTGGGTGGAAATCATGCAGGAGAGGGGGAATGGGGGCTGGAGTGGGTGGAAAGCATGCAGGAGAGGGGGAATGGGGGCTAAGGTGGGTGGAAAGCATGCAGGAGAGGGGGAAGGGGGGCTGGAGTGGGTGGAAAGCATGCAGGAGAGGGGGAAGTGGGGCTGGAGTGGGTGGAAAGCATGCAGGAGAGGGGGAGGGGGGGCTGGAGTGGGTGGAAAGCATGCAGGAGAGGGGGAAGTGGGGCTGGAGTGGGTGGAAAGCATGCAGGAGAGGGGGAATGGGGGCTGGAGTGGGTGGAAAGCATGCAGGAGAGGGGGAAGGGGGGCTAAAGTGGGTGGAAAGCATGCAGGAGAGGGGGAAGGGGGGCTGGAGTGGGTGGAGAGCATGCAGGAGAGGGGGAAGTGCGGCTGGAGTGAGTGGAAAGCATGCAGGAGAGGGGGAAGGGGGGCTGGAGTGGGTGGAAAGCATGCAGGAGAGGGGGAAGGGGGGCTGGAGTGGGTGGAAAGCATGCAGGAGAGGGGGAAGGGGGGCTGGAGTGGGTGGAAAGCATGCAGGAGAGGGGGAAGTGGGGCTGGAGTGGGTGGAAAGCATGCAGGAGAGGGAGAAGGGGGGCTGGAGTGGGTGGAAAGCATGCAGGAGAGGGGGAAGTGGGGCTGGAGTGGGTGGAAAGCATGCAGGAGAGGGGGAAGTGGGGCTGGAGTGGGTGGAGAGCATGCAGGAGAGGGGGAAGGGGGGCTGGAGTGGGTGGAAAGCATGCAGGAGAGGGGGAAGGGGGGCTGGAGTGGGTGGAAAGCATGCAGGAGAGGGGGAAGTGGGGCTGGAGTGGGTGGAAAGCATGCAGGAGAGGGGGAAGGGGGGCTGGAGTGGGTGGAAAGCATGCAGGAGAGGGGGAAGGGGGGCTGGAGTGGGTGGAAAGCATGCAGGAGAGGGGGAAGTGGGGCTGGAGTGGGTGGAGAGCATGCAGGAGAGGGGGAAGGGGGGCTGGAGTGGGTGGAAATCATGCAGGAGAGGGGGAATGGGGGCTGGAGTGGGTGGAAAGCATGCAGGAGAGGGGGAATGGGGGCTAAGGTGGGTGGAAAGCATGCAGGAGAGGGGGAAGGGGGGCTGGAGTGGGTGGAAAGCATGCAGGAGAGGGGGAAGTGGGGCTGGAGTGGGTGGAAAGCATGCAGGAGAGGGGGAGGGGGGGCTGGAGTGGGTGGAAAGCATGCAGGAGAGGGGGAAGTGGGGCTGGAGTGGGTGGAAAGCATGCAGGAGAGGGGGAATGGGGGCTGGAGTGGGTGGAAAGCATGCAGGAGAGGGGGAAGGGGGGCTAAAGTGGGTGGAAAGCATGCAGGAGAGGGGGAAGGGGGGCTGGAGTGGGTGGAGAGCATGCAGGAGAGGGGGAAGTGCGGCTGGAGTGAGTGGAAAGCATGCAGGAGAGGGGGAAGGGGGGCTGGAGTGGGTGGAAAGCATGCAGGAGAGGGGGAAGGGGGGCTGGAGTGGGTGGAAAGCATGCAGGAGAGGGGGAAGGGGGGCTGGAGTGGGTGGAAAGCATGCAGGAGAGGGGGAAGTGGGGCTGGAGTGGGTGGAAAGCATGCAGGAGAGGGAGAAGGGGGGCTGGAGTGGGTGGAAAGCATGCAGGAGAGGGGGAAGGGGGGCTGGAGTTGGTGGAAAGCATGCAGGAGAGGGGGAAGTGGGGCTGGAGTGGGTGGAGAGCATGCAGGAGAGGGGGAAGGGGGGCTGGAGTGGGTGGAAAGCATGCAGGAGAGGGGGAATGGGGGCTGGAGTGGGTGGAAAGCATGCAGGAGAGGGGGAATGGGGGCTAAGGTGGGTGGAAAGCTTGCAGGAGAGGGGGAAGGGGGGCTGGAGTGGGTGGAAAGCATGCAGGAGAGGGGGAAGTGGGGCTGGAGTGGGTGGAAAGCATGCAGGAGAGGGGGAGGGGGGGCTGGAGTGGGTGGAAAGCATGCAGGAGAGGGGGAAGTGGGGCTGGAGTGGGTGGAAAGCATGCAGGAGAGGGGGAATGGGGGCTGGAGTGGGTGGAAAGCATGCAGGAGAGGGGGAAGGGGGGCTAAAGTGGGTGGAAAGCATGCAGGAGAGGGGGAAGGGGGGCTGGAGTGGGTGGAAAGCATGCAGGAGAGGGGGAATGGGGGCTAAGGTGGGTGGAAAGCATGCAGGAGAGGGGGAAGGGGGGCTGGAGTGGGTGGAAAGCATGCAGGAGAGGGGGAAGTGGGGCTGGAGTGGGTGGAAAGCATGCAGGAGAGGGGTAGGGGGGGCTGGAGTGGGTGGAAAGCATGCAGGAGAGGGGGAAGTGGGGCTGGAGTGGGTGGAAAGCATGCAGGAGAGGGGGAATGGGGGCTGGAGTGGGTGGAAAGCATGCAGGAGAGGGGGAAGGGGGGCTAAAGTGGGTGGAAAGCATGCAGGAGAGGGGGAAGGGGGGCTGGAGTGGGTGGAGAGCATGCAGGAGAGGGGGAAGTGCGGCTGGAGTGAGTGGAAAGCATGCAGGAGAGGGGGAAGGGGGGCTGGAGTGGGTGGAAAGCATGCAGGAGAGGGTGAAGGGGGGCTGGAGTGGGTGGAAAGCATGCAGGAGAGGGGGAAGGGGGGCTGGAGTGGGTGGAAAGCATGCAGGAGAGGGGGAAGTGGGGCTGGAGTGGGTGGAAAGCATGCAGGAGAGGGAGAAGGGGGGCTGGAGTGGGTGGAAAGCATGCAGGAGAGGGGGAAGGGGGGCTGGAGTTGGTGGAAAGCATGCAGGAGAGGGGGAAGTGGGGCTGGAGTGGGTGGAGAGCATGCAGGAGAGGGGGAAGGGGGGCTGGAGTGGGTGGAAAGCATGCAGGAGAGGGGGAATGGGGGCTGGAGTGGGTGGAAAGCATGCAGGAGAGGGGGAATGGGGGCTAAGGTGGGTGGAAAGCTTGCAGGAGAGGGGGAATGGGGGCTGGAGTGGGTGGAAAGCATGCAGGAGAGGGGGAAGTGGGGCTGGAGTGGGTGGAAAGCATGCAGGAGAGGGGGAGGGGGGGCTGGAGTGGGTGGAAAGCATGCAGGAGAGGGGGAAGTGGGGCTGGAGTGGGTGGAAAGCATGCAGGAGAGGGGGAATGGGGGCTGGAGTGGGTGGAAAGCATGCAGGAGAGGGGGAAGGGGGGCTAAAGTGGGTGGAAAGCATGCAGGAGAGGGGGAAGGGGGGCTGGAGTGGGTGGAAAGCATGCAGGAGAGGGGGAAGTGCGGCTGGAGTGAGTGGAAAGCATGCAGGAGAGGGGGAAGGGGGGCTGGAGTGGGTGGAAAGCATGCAGGAGAGGGGGAAGGGGGGCTGGAGTGGGTGGAAAGCATGCAGGAGAGGGGGAAGTGGGGCTGGAGTGGGTGGAAAGCATGCAGGAGAGGGGGAATGGGGGCTGGAGTGGGTGGAAAGCATGCAGGAGAGGGGGAATGAGGGCTAAGGTGGGTGGAAAGCATGCAGGAGAGGGGGAAGGGGGGCTGGAGTGGGTGGAAAGCATGCAGGAGAGGGGGAAGTGGGGGCAGTGAGAAAAAATGGCATATCCATACGACCGGGAATGCACCTGCAAAATTTGCGTGTTGATGCCTGCCCGTCTGAGTCGCAGAACCATCGCACTCATGGCGGGTTCACCAACAGTCAAGACGTAGCTCCGAAACACTGAGTCGGTGATGTCCCCCAGGACCATCTTCTTGTGGGTCTTAGTAAGCACCCTCTGGCCAGCCAGGCATGCCTGTCACCGTGGAGAGGAGAGGGTTGGTATAGGGAGGGGGAGGGTTGTATGGTGAGTCCTTTTGGAGGGAGGAGGAGGGGGGGGGGGGGATAGGGGATGGATGCGAGGTGTAGGCAAAGAAGGGAAAGGCCACGAAGTGGGAATGGGTGTGGGGGAAAGGGGGAAAGGTTGTGGGGACGAAGAAGGTTATGGGGGGGTAGGAATCGATGACTTTGGTTAGGTTGGTCCTTCATGTCATTGCCAACTCATGCAGAGAGCATGGAAACAGAAGTGCGGGCAAAGAGACGAGCGAACAGAATGTGGCACAGAGCAGGGCAGACACAGAAGTGAACAAATCTGGGAAACAGTGAAGGGAACAGAGCGGGGCACATAGCAGGGCAGACACAGAAGTGAACAAATCAGGGAAAAAGTGAAGGGAACAGAGCGGGGCACATAGCAGGGCAGACACAGAAGTGAACGAATCAGGGAAACGATGAAGGGAACAGAGCGGGGCACAGAGGTGGGCAGACACAGATGTGAACAAATCAGGGAAACGGTGAAGGGAACAGAGCAGGGCACAGAGCAGGGCAGACACAGAACGGAACATGGCAGGGTAACAGCGCAGGGAACAGAGCAGGGAAACAGAACAGGGTACCGAGTAGGGGAGACACAGCATGGAACATAGCAGGGTAACAGAGCGGATAACAAAGAAGGGGAAATGACGAGGGGAACGGAGCAGTGTGAGAGAGCAAGAGAGCCGAGCAGGGAAAAAGAGCATGGGGGGAGAGCATGAGACCCGGGCAGCGAAACAGAGCAGGAAAGAGCATGAGAACCGAGCAGGGAAAAAGGGCAGGGGAGGGAGCATGAGAACCGAGCAGGGAAACAGGGCAGGGGAGAGAGCATGAGAACCGAGCTCGGGCAAACTGAACATGGCACAGAGCAGGGCAGACACATAAGGGAGCATAGCAGGGAAACTGAAGGGAATACAACAGGCCACAAAGGAGGGCAGACACAGAACGGAATATGCCAAAGGATAACACTGCAGGGAACAGAGCGGGGAAGACACAGTAGGGAACACAGCTGGGAAATAGAGCAGATAACAAAGAAGGGGAAATGACTAGAGGAACAGGGCAGGGAGAGAGAGAAGGAGAACCGAGCAGGGAAACAGAGCAGGGGGAGAGAGCAAGAGAACCGAGCAGGGAAACAGAGCAGCGGAACAGAGGAGGGGAACCGAGCAAGAGAACGGAGCATGGCATCACTTCAGGAGATCACAGCATGGGATTAAAATAGGGAAACTTAGCAGACGACGGGGTGCAGGGGAACAGAGCAGGTTCGTGAAACTCACCTCTTTCATCGAGGTCTCGTACGTGCTGTCCCCTCCGGCCTCCCGCGCGAGTTGCCTAACCACCGCATGCTCCAGGTGTTTCTGGACGATTCGATCTTCAACATTCTTCCAGTTCGTGCCACGTGAAGGACGCTTCACAGTGGTCTTGTGGGAGTGCTCGTAGCAGTTTGACGAGTACTCGGCAGGGATCCCCCTCATACGGATTGTTGATGGGAGGTGAACGAGAAGATGAATCTTAACAATTTTCCACTTTGACTTCTGCTTAGGGAAAGCGACACGAGGAGCCTTCACCATCCTGGAGAAAATTTAGATACAAGGCATGCAGTTAAGACGGGGAATGCAGGCCGGGAACGGAGAAACGGGATGCGGGAGGGGGAGTGAGGAAGCAGACATCGAAAACAGAAACACGGAAGGAGGGAGCACGGAGGTGGGTTATGGAGGGACAGCGATGCAGTGCAGAGGGAGAAGATGGGCCTGGGAAACCACATAACAGACGGACTTATTACTTGATGGTGGCGTCTTTCATCCGTTCCAGAGATTCGTCGGTGTGGTACTCAGCGCGGATGAACTCCTTGTACCACTCGACCATCTTGACAATGGCCGTGCGGATATCATCTTGTCCTGGGAGGTTGATGATGAGGGGCAGGACCTGCATCATCGCCCGATGCTCTGCAGCTGAAAAGCAGGCAGTGGATGTGAAGTAGGCCCACGCCGAAGGAAGACGTAGCACGGAAGCTGGTGTGGCCTCCTTCAAAATCTTGTATCGCCTAGGCGTGAGTAATAGTTAGTCAAAGCACGGAAAGCAAGCACGGAGGGGTGTAGCATGAAGCAGGGCGCGGAAAGCAAGCACGGAGGGGAGTAGCATGAAGCAGGGCGCGGAAAGCAAGCACGGAGGGGAGTAGCATGAAGCAGGGCGCGGAAAGCAAGCACGGAGGGGAGTAGCATGAAGCAAGGCGCGGAACAACTCACTCCAGAAGAATCTTCCGTTCCCTCGGGGTCAGCTTCTTCACCAGGCACTTCATGGCATGCAGCCATATGCCTTGCTCCCAGATGTGCATGATGTCCGGGGGCACAGCAAGGTACGTGTTTCCCCAGAGAGTTTTTGCGAATTCCCAGTCCCACAAAAGGCTCTGCGTCGGGGGTCAAGGGCACAAACTCACTATGGCGGGTCAGGATAATAAATATGAACAGCAAGATGCAGATCGGAGTAGGTTTTCGGGCACACTAGCCACAGCAGTATATGGTGGATACGGAGGGAAACCATATGAGAACCACAAGGATGCACGCGGAGCAAGCTGGGCAAGGCGCACCTTCACAAAGTGTGTAGAGGACTTCTTCTTCACCGCCTTCAGCTCCTTTTTGGTCTTTGCGGCTTTCATCTCCTTGTGAAAATCCTTCTGACCCTTGACAGTTCTAAGGACAATGGTGTCTTCCTGCTTCTTTTTGGTTTCCGCAGATTCCTTCAGACCTTCGACATTTCTGGGGATAATGGTCTCATCCTGCTCATCCGGGCGCTTCTTATCAGTTGGCTGTTGAGTCAACTCAAAGTTCAACTCATCCAGGCCCTCCTTTTCAGCCAAGCACAACGAGCACGGATGGTGTGAGTTGCATGCCATCGTACAGGTGATCTTAGAAGACTCCGGGTGATCGGCCACCCATGAATAAAGGAGCGTGAATGCACTATACTGCACCCCGGCACTGTCTTCCACCTTCACACCGCCCCTGCACAGCCGCCAGGATGAGGGGTAAAGCAGGGGGGGGTATGGCAAGGATGGGAGACCATGTTAGATATGTCAGTGATGGTGTGAGCATGGGTTGCTGTAAGCAAGCAGATGAAGGACGGTTAGGAGGAGGGGGACAGCAAGCAGGGATGGTTTCAACGGCAGGAGACGGTGGTACGGGAGGAACCCGAATGGTATTAGGTGAAGCATGGTGGCTGGGAGCAGAGTACTTTCGACTGAATCCTACGTCGTGGCGCGCATGCGAAAGAAGAACAGAGGAGAAGGGGGGTCAAAAAGGGAGGGGAGTGTGTATTAGACAGGCAATGAAAATAAGTAGGGTAGTGTGGTGGATTCTGGAGAGTACAAGGGATGCGCGCCTTTGGGCGAGAGTAGCAGTGTCTCACCCTGAAAGATGTGAAGCCGCCTTCAAATCTCGAATCATGATCTCTGCAGCGTCCTGGAACACTCGAACCTTCTCTTCTGGCGAGAGGTCAGCTGGGATGTTAGGCAGGAGCCCGAGAAGCTCAGTGCCTCCTTCAAGCCACCTAGCCCATTCAGGAATGTTCCCAAAGGACAACAGAAATGGGTGGGCAGATTGGCGCCCGTTGTACGATAGATTGGTCTGGTCCGAAAACAAAATGAGAGCTATAACTATGCCAAACTTCCGCACCCTTTCCTGCCACAGTGATGATAAAGGGAAGGAAGAACGTATTGGATCCTAGGTTTCAATGCTCGTGTCCAACGCGACATGAGATGGCGTGGAACTTACCCAAGCCTCGAGCATCCAATCCGTGTTTGCAGGGGTACTGTAGCGGCGAACCCCATCCACCTTCCACTCTTGAGGCATGATGCTGAATCCCTTGACAGCCGACATCTTCTTGAACATGGACTGAAGGAGCTGATGGTGATAATTATGGAAACAATGACGGAAAACAAAAGCGTAGGATTGATGGTTCCATTTGGACTGATGGTTTAGTCGGTCTCAACAAACACATTCCAGGGTGACAAACGTGACCCAGCACGCATGAATACACTCACAGTTATCGCGTTACGGCGCTTGAAGGTGAGAAACCCAACCTCGTGATCCACCTCGATCTCCTCGACGATCCATTCATTCTCCGCTCCAAGGTCAAAGCTGTTCTCGTACTTCTCCAGGTCCCTGTAGCTGTTCCAATCGTCCAGCTGCTTTGGATCTAATTTCGGATGTCTAACTAACTGTATTGTGTCGTTTATCGCCCCGTTGGTAAGGCCGTGAGATCGTGCCAAAATGCATATTTCCGCCTTAACATCAAGAATTTCCTTTGTAGGAGCTTCTTCCACCACGAGTGTGGTGCTGCACGTACGAACCGCATCAGGAACTCGCTCTGCCGGCTGCGGGTGCTGCTCTACTGCGTTCGGAAGTGCCGCTAAGGGAATTGAATGCGCTGGCGCGGGAAGGGTGGCTGTTGCTAACGGAACCAATGTATACTGCTTCTCAACGCCACGGTCTAGTTTCTTACGTTTAGCATCCTCTTCGGCCTTGCGTTTTTGGGCCCGCTTACATCCGTCATGGTTAGCTTGATGGCTACTTACGTATTGATAGCAGTACACGCGCTTATTGCAGAACTCACAAGCCTGAGCCTCCATCGAGCAGATCTGTCCGTAAGACTGAAAGGGTGTTTGGCACACGAGCTTGAGATGTGAATGGTAACACTGCACCGTGGTGAGATAGCGCCCATCGTATGGATGATAGTTTACCGAAAGGCGAGGATAGGGATTTGGCGCGAACACGAAGGGGCAATCTGAGTCTGAACTCATGTTTCCGGTGATCATGATTGGCCATTGGTCATCGAGTGTCAGTAGTGGGATTGCAGTTGGTTAGGGTTTGTGATGTGCAGCTCGAAGTGTTCGGTCCTCCTGTTTATTGGTGCGCGACAACCGTGAAGATTGGCGAGAGCGCCATGCGACTCCCATACTCAACATCTCTTGGTGTAACTGTTTTCGCGCACATAAACTGCTTACTCGTCGCTGCACCTTGACGAGGTTTTGTACCCAACTGCAAACAAGTTGGCGAGGGTCATTTCCGCTTGCGACATGGACCTGACATCATATTCGCGTACACGCCAATTGTGTGTCAGAAAAAAACAAGCCAAACAATGTCATTGGAGCAAGGAATTCTGTCAGACCACCCAACACTGTTCACCAAGTATGAACAAGCCATTCGTTGTCGACGCATGGGAGCAGGGAATCACAAACTTGACGAACGAAGGGCAAGGGCGTGTGGGTCCTTCTTCAGGAACTACAGTATTTCCTTAGACTTTCCGTTGGCTGGGCCACGGAATGTCGACCCTCACCTAAGGCACGATCCTGCTCAAGCTGAGTTTGTTATCTCAAGATATGGAGGAGAAGGGCATACCCAAGTTAGCGCGATGTAGTTTCCGGCACATGCGCATGCCATCCCCGTTCCGGGGATCCCTTGAAATCAAGCCCTCAGATTACCGCACGCTGAAAAACGAGCAGTGGGTCAGTGGCACGATTATCGAGTGGCTCTCATCGTGAGTGGCTCTGTGTTGAACACATAGCAAACTGATTTGTTGACCCTTGTTTTTAGTTTCTCACGAGCTCCACCGACTTTGTATATTTTCACGTCGATCCTGCAGTATGTTACACTACGAGTACGGATATGACAATGCGTCGTGGCTTTGCACATCGCCTTATTTCTGGACACTCGTAGCACGCCCGGGGTCGAAGAGGATCACAAGGCAGGCCTATGGACTAGACATCTTGTCGTTTAAGCACGTTCTTGTTCCGATTAACAAGAAGTAAGTGGTAGGGTCTTTTTATTCATGTGTTGAACGTAAACATGTCCTGCAAAATAACGATTTTGGATGTCTCGATTACATGGCAGTGCGCACTGGAGTCTTGTTGTTATCAAAATTACCCATGCTCCGGGATCCCTTATCCCGATCAAGTGTGACCTGTGGCATGCGGACTCATATTCAACTCACGTCGACATTGATGGACCATTGAGAAAGTGAGAAATGTGATGTGCTGCGTATGAAACACTGTTGTTCTCGACCGATGTTAACAAGCAGTACGTCTTAATGCGCAGGTATTTGATGAATCAAGCAATGCAGCGCTACGCATGGGTCACGGAGACAGAAGCAAAAGCGTGGGCAGCAGCGATTCAGTTAAACACCATTATGGTATGTGAATTCACGGCCCGTGCAAAAAGGAGGATTGGTGTGGGACAGGCCGCTCATGGACAGGCATTGGATGCGCGGATGAGTAGGGGAAGGGGGAGGTGCGTGCTGCGCATGGACTGGCATGGGATGATGAGTAGGGGAAGGGGGAGTTGCGTGCGGCGCATGGACAGGCATGGGATGATGAGTAGGGGAAGGGGGGGTTGCGTGCTGCGCATGGACAGGCATGGGATGATGAGTAGGGGAAGGGGGAGTTGCGTGCGGCGCATGGACAGGCATGGGATGATGAGTAGGGGAAGGGGGGGTTGCGTGCTGCGCATGGACAGGCATGGGATGATGAGTAGGGGAAGGGGGAGTTGCATGCTGCGCATGGACAGGCATGGGATGATGAGTAGGGGAAGGGGGAGTTGCGTGCTGCGCATGGACAGGCATGGGATGATGAGTAGGGGAAGGGGGAGTTGCATGCTGCGCATGGACGGGCATGGGATGATGAGTAGGGGAAGGGGGAGTTGCGTGTGGCGCATGGACAGGCATGGGATGATGAGTAGGGGAAGGGGGGGTTGCGTGCTGCGCATGGACAGGCATGGGATGATGAGTAGGGGAAGGGGGAGTTGCATGCTGCGCATGGACAAGCATGGGATGATGAGTAGGGGAAGGGGGAGTTGCGTGCTGCGCATGGACAGGCATGGGATGATGAGTAGGGGAAGGGGGAGTTGCGTGCTGCGCATGCACAGGCATGGGATGATGAGTAGGGGAAGGGGGAGTTGCATGCTGCGCATGGACAGGCATGGGATGATGAGTAGGGGAAGGGGGAGTTGCGTGTGGCGCATGGACAGGCATGGGATGATGAGTAGGGGAAGGGGGAGTTGCATGCTGCGCATGGACAGGCATGGGATGATGAGTAGGGGAAGGGGGGGTTGCGTGCTGCGCATGGACAGGCATGGGATGATGAGTAGGGGAAGGGGGAGTTGCATGCTGCGCATGGACAGGCATGGGATGATGAGTAGGGGAAGGGGGAGCTGCGTGCTGCGCATGGACAGGCATGGGATGATGAGTAGGGGAAGGGGGGGTTGCGTGCTGCGCATGGACAGGCATGGGATGATGAGTAGGGGAAGGGGGAGTTGCGTGTGGCGCATGGACAGGCATGGGATGATGAGTAGGGGAAGGGGGAGTTGCATGCTGCGCATGGACAGGCATGGGATGATGAGTAGGGGAAGGGGGAGTTGCGTGCGGCGCATGGACAGGCATGGGATGATGAGTAGGGGAAGGGGGGGTTGCGTGCTGCGCATGGACAGGCATGGGATGATGAGTAGGGGAAGGGGGAGTTGCATGCTGCGCATGGACAGGCATGGGATGATGAGTAGGGGAAGGGGGGGTTGCGTGCGGCGCATGGACAGGCATGGGATGATGAGTAGGGGAAGGGGGGGTTGCGTGCGGCGCATGGACAGGCATGGGATGATGAGTAGGGGAAGGGGGGGTTGCGTGCGGCGCATGGACAGGCATGGGATGATGAGTAGGGGAAGGGGGGGTTGCGTGCTGCGCATGCACAGGCATGGGATGATGAGTAGGGGAAGGGGGAGTTGCGTGCGGCGCATGGACAGGCATGGGATGATGAGTAGGGGAAGGGGGGGTTGCGTGCTGCGCATGGACAGGCATGGGATGATGAGTAGGGGAAGGGGGAGTTGCGTGCTGCGCATGGACAGGCATGGGATGATGAGTAGGGGAAGGGGGGGTTGCGTGCTGCGCATGGACAGGCATGGGATGATGAGTAGGGGAAGGGGGAGTTGCATGCTGCGCATGGACAGGCATGGGATGATGAGTAGGGGAAGGGGGAGTTGCGTGCTGCGCATGGACAGGCATGGGATGATGAGTAGGGGAAGGGGGAGTTGCATGCTGCGCATGGACAGGCATGGGATGCGCGGATGAGTACGGGAGGAGGTGGGGGTGGGGGGGGGGGGGGGGGGGCAAGGGGGCTGAAAGCAGCTCGTGACTAAGCCTTAAGAACCACCTGATACTTGTCCTACCGCAGGTGCGTCAGCAGGACAACGAGAATGACTGCGGCGTTTATGTGATGCGTGTCATTCATACGCTTGTCGAGACCAACTTTGACAGCTTGAATGCGTGTGGCTTGGCCGGGACGCCAAGACAGTGGAGGCGCCAATATCGTCACGATTTGGCTAGGTGGTCCTGTGTCTATGACAATGCATGTGGGTTGATCCAGGCTGACTGATGCCCTTAAGCCTGCTTGGTGTTGGTTATTGACATGCATTAGTACCGGACGATCTGGTGTATCGTACTGCTCGACGCTTGATGGAAACTGGCATGACAGTGCGGTAATTGATTTGCACTAGATGGTAAGCTCTAAGCCGAGCATTACATAGTGTCAGTGAATACACTCAGAACACAACATAGTGGTTGGGGTCTTGCTGAACTTGATGAGTAGTCAGATGAGCTGAATGCGGGGCAGGCATCATGAACAACCTCCTAGAGGCATGGCAGGCGACCATGATAGTATTACAACATCACATGTGTTGGGAATATAAACACATGACTTACACAAAGCCGACTCATGGCACAACTGACAACAGTTCAAATGCAACCTCAACGAGAATCTTCCTACTGCAGCGCCCTATATAAGTTGCTATGTATCGGCCCATGAACGTAATAATGTCGACACAATGCAGTTTCTGTCTTCTCCAGCGCTGTAACATCTACGCGACAAACCAGCTGTTGATGTGAACCTAACTGTGCTTGCTCTCAACAATTGCACAATGTTTTTTGAAGGTTGCTAGGCGTGTGAACACTGGTATAGTCATTGTACGGTGAGTCACGCCAAGTAGTCACCCTAAATTTGAATATGAAAATGCATAGAAGTATACCAGTGTGCGATTAGGCGGCTGGAATGAGACTGTTAGTTTAGGTGTGCAGGATTATTCTTTCTACTCACCCTATGATTACCTTGATTGAAGCAAGACTTGGTGAACCTTACAATATTACTGAACTCTGTCACAATCTTATCGCATCAATCCTGTCACATCCTCGGTACAAAGAGCGGTGCCACGAAATCGAAGTTTCAGCGCAACCACTCGGGGTATTATCGAACCGCGATGTCTTGTATCTATCACGGCTCCAAACGCACATGTGTGTGCCGACAACGCGCGGCGCGGTTTGCTGCTGTCACATTGCGTTTTTTTTTTTTTTGGTGTGCGGCAAGGCTTGGTTCAGTTCCCGTACTCACGCGTGCAAATACTTACTAGTACTAGTCTCGCATTTACAGTGCCGATCAGGCATTGTGGGCGCTCGAACGTTCTAGCCCAGGGAGGCTGCTGCAATTTAGGATTTGAAATATTGCCCCATTGACAGCGCCTTCCTTGCAACCTCAAGGGCAGCTAAACTATTGCGCTGCACCAAACACCACCACCCGACGTGGGGCCACCTGGTAATGCGTTACAGGAACAAGCATCTTCATGCCGATTCCCATGCTGGGAGATGAGACCACGATATGCTCCACGTTCGAAGCACCTAGTTCGTCTTGCTGGTAGCCGTTCGGTTCTCGTCACGATACCCCTACGGTAGGCACGTCATGCATTTACGGTAGTAGTATTGGTAGTAAATGTTGATGTTCCCTCTGGCACTCGATGCAAAGTGAGAAGATGTCAGTGGTAGCACGTAATAGCCGTCACGTAGCTGTTCTCGTAATAGGCTCATCCATCTTTGGCGCTGCGGTGCAGTTTTCGTAGTAGGCACGTCCTACATTGGCGTGGCGGCCGGTTCTCATAGTAGGCTCCTCCTGTTTTGGCGCAGCGGTCTGTTCTCGTAGTAGGCTCGTCCTGTTTTGGCGCGGCGGTCTGTTCTCGTAGTCGTCTCGTCCTGTTTTGGTGCGGCGGTCTGTTCTCGTAGTAGCCTCGTCCTGCTCTGGCGAGGCCGTGATGTTCTCTGACGGCGCGTCCAGGCATGGCGCGTCCAGCAATGACGCGTCCAGCATGGCGCGTCCAGCGGCAGTTCTAGCTTGCTCGATTTTCGTCGGCGCGTTTCGCAGGCACGTAGTGCGATTGCGCGCTGCTGTTCCTTGCGTCTCCAACACCTATTTATGGGATACTTGATACTTAGAAACAGCTCACTATTGTAACCATTAAGCTTGTCTAGCGGAACTGATAGATAGATGGCAGACATCATCGTCTCTGAACAGGCCAATGCTAGTGCGCTCCTCGGTAGCGCCGCTACAGCTTTACAACCTTTGGGTCCCATGAAAACCGACGCGGAACAGAAGGGGCACGACAAGATGACGCCTCACGATACCTCCCAGCTAGTTGTGCGGTATCGTCGGAAAAACATACTTCCTGCACGCGATGCCAAGGTGGAATCGGAAGGGGCATCTTCATCGGATAGTGAGCAATCTGAAGAAGAGGCCTACGATGGCAAGGTTAGACGCGGCGGTTCACAAGGGCGGAGGAACGGTCGAAAGCTGAAGCCGTTGGACCAGTGCAAACCTGCTACAGGGAGGAAAGGTACGCTATGAACTTTTATCCAGCTTTTTCAAGTTTGTATGTCTTAAAGTTGCTCGTTAATTACTTGGATGTGTTCGCACCCAATCCAGAGAGGTGCTGCCCTCCTATTAACTGAGCGTATCATCCTTACTTCGTGCGTGTTGTAGGTACCCTTGCTGGAGCCAAGAAAATGAAAAGAGAAAGACAAGACGCGCCTGGTGCAACAGGACTTGTGGAAGATGTAGATGACAAGGAGCAACTGCCAGAGAAAGGGCATGAGCGTGGGGATGAGCGTGATGGAGAGCGTGAGGGCAGGCGTGAGGGAGGGCTTGAGGGCAGGCGTGAAGGCAGGCGTGAGGGCAGGCGGGAGGGAGAGCGTGAGGCTGAGCGTGAGGGAGAGCGTGAGGGAGAGCGTGATATGAAGCATGATGCGTCTTTTCCCTCTACTCCAGCAGGTGTTCGTGCGGCCGATGCACACGATGTTCGAGGGCATGAGGAGGGTGGGAGGGAGAGCCGTGGCGCTGAGCATGAAGATCAGAGGGGGGTGTCTGGGAGGGTGAAGGCACGGTGCAGAAAGGCTGGAAAGAAGGCCGTTGCTGAGGTCGAATCTTCTGATGGAGAAGATAGTTCCGAGGAGGAATCAGGGAGTTCATCCGGGAGCGAGGAGAAGTATGATGAGGAAGAGGACGAGAGTGATGACGCTGAAACTGGGTCCGGGAGTAATGACGACGGTAGGAGAGGGGGGAGGGCACGAGGAGCGCGCAACCACCAGTATAGCGGAAAGCGTGGTCATGCAACCGGTGGTAAGGCTGGTAGTGGCTATAAACGGCAGAGACGTAGAGAGTGTGCTCAAGGAAAGCGAGCAGATACTGAGGGTTACACCCAGCGGCGTCGTAAGGAGCGTCCTGTTGTGAGACAGGACCTTGGCTTCTACAATGAGATGAGGATCATGGTGAACTCGGATGATGCTGATCCGTCGAATCGTCGGGAGAACGTTCGGATGAAACGGGCAGCAACCAACGATCGGTATGCTGCCCTTGCTTCCACCTCAGGGTTGGGGAAGAGAGCATCTAGATTTCAAGATCGGAGTGTGCGTGACAACGCTGGCCAGCAGCATGACAACACGCACAATCCAGCCGGTGGTAGTGACGATCCGGCCTGTGGTGGGGGGCTGGGGGCGGAAGATGGTGAGGCGGGTGGTGTTGGAGATTGGTTCAATGATGGCAGGAAAGTTGGACACTTTGACCCAGCAACTCCGCCCCCGTTCGCATCGGCAAGAGGCAATTCCCCGCTCAACGCTAGTGGAGTGCCCATCCTTCCCTCGATCAATTCTCCTAATGAATCCATGCAGCAACTCTTCCAGGCTTTGCAGGAAGCTAATCGGCAGATTGCCGAGCTAAAGGCCGGTCGTGGACCTTCGGTGGACCGGGAGGGAAATGGGACGCAAATCCCGCCGCTTACCTCGATATCCAGTGAACAACCTGAGCCGCCAGAAACGCCGGGCGCTGTGGCGGAGAGCGCTGTACAAGGCACTCCCATCACCAGGAGGCATGGGATGCCAAACGCGACTAATTTGAAGGTAAGTGCCACCAATTTCTCCTACCCATTGCCACACCTGACTCGCTGGCTTGCTCATTATATGGTTTTGTTTGACCAATGGTGCATTTTCATTCTCTTTCTCCAGTTGTCTAGGTTTTCCCACTCTCTGGTCTCATTCTCTGCAATGACTCGCTCACATTCCCACTCTCTGGTTTCCTTCTCTGCAGTGATTCATTCTCATCCCACCCTCTGGGCTCATTCTCTGCAGTGATTCATTCTCATTCCCACTCTCTGATTTCCTTCTCTGCAGTGATTCATTCTCATCTCACCCTCTGGTCTCATTCTCTGCAGTGACTCACACTCTCTGGTTTCCTTCTCTGCAGTGATTCATTCTCATCCCACCCTCTGGTCTCATTCTCTGCAGTGACTCCCACTCTCTGGTTTCCTTCTTTGCAGTGACTCATTCACATTCCCACTCTCTGGTTTCCTTCTCTGCAGTGATTCCTTCTCAACCCACCCTCTGGTATCATTCTCTGCAGTGACTCCCACTCTATGGTTTCCTTCTCTGCAGTGATTCCTTCTCATCCCACCCTCTGGTCTCATTCTATGCAGTGACTCCCACTCTCTGGTTTCCTTCTCTGCAGTGATTCCTTCTCATCCCACCCTCTGGTATCATTCTCTGCAGTGAATCCCACTCTATGGTTTCCTTCTCTGCAGTGATTCATTCTCATCCCACCCTCTGGTCTCATTCTCTGCAGTGACTCCCACTCTCTGGTTTCCTTCTCTGCAGTGATTCATTCTCATCCCACCCTCTGGTCTCATTCTCTGCAGTGACTCCCACTCTCTGGTTTCCTTCTCTGCAGTGACTCATTCAAATTCCCACTCTATGGTTTCCTTCTCTGCAGTGATTCATTCTCATCCCACCCTCTGGTCTCATTCTCTGCAGTGACTCCCACTCTCTGGTTTCCTTCTCTGCAGTGATTCATTCTCATCCCACCCTCTGGTCTCATTCTCTGCAGTGACTCCCACTCTCTGGTTTCCTTCTCTGCAGTGACTTATTCACATTCCCACTCTATGGTTTCCTTCTCTGCAGTGATTCCTTCTCATCCCACCCTCTGGTATCATTCTCTGCAGTGACTCCCACTCTCTGGTTTCCTTCTCTGCAGTGATTCTTTCTAATCTCACCCTCTGGTCTCATTCTCTGCAGTGACTCCCACTCTCTGATTTCCTTCTATGCAGTGACTCATTCACATTCCCAATCTCTGGTTTCCTTCTCTGCAGTGATTCCTTCTCATCCCACCCTCTGGTCTCATTCTCTGCAGTGACTCCCACTCTCTGGTTTCCTTCTCTGCAGTGATTCATTCTCATCCCACCCTCTGGTCTCATTCTCTGCAGTGACTCCCACTCTCTGGTTTCCTTCTCTGCAGTGACTCATTCACATTCCCACTCTCTGGTTTCCTTCTCTGCAGTGATTCCTTCTCATCCCACCCTCTGGTATCATTCTCTGCAGTGACTCCCACTCTATGGTTTCCCTCTCTGCAGTGATTCATTCTCATCCCACCCTCTGGTCTCATTCTCTGCAGTGACTCCCACTCTCTGGTTTCCTTCTCTGCAGTGATTCATTCTCATCCCACCCTCTGGTCTCATTCTCTGCAGTGACTCCCACTCTCTGGTTTCCTTCTCTGCAGTGACTCATTCACATTCCCACTCTCTGGTTTCCTTCTCTGCAGTGATTCCTTCTCATCCCACCCTCTGGTATCATTCTCTGCAGTGACTCCCACTCTATGGTTTCCTTCTCTGCAGTGATTCCTTCTCATCCCACCCTCTGGTATCATTCTCTGCAGTGACTCCCACTCTCTGGTTTCCTTCTCTGCAGTGATTCATTCTCATCCCACCCTCTGGTCGCATTCCACGCATGACTCCCACTCTCTGGTTTCCTTCTATGCACTGATTCATTCTCATTCCCACCCTCTGGTCCCATTCTCTGCAGTGACTCATTCACACTCCCACTCTCTGGTTTCCCTCTCTGCAGTGATTCATTCTCATCCCACCCTCTGGTCTCATTCTATGCAGTGACATATACTCATTCCCAATTCCCCACATTCCCATTCTTTGGTTTACCCTACATTCTCATTTTAAACAGCTGTACATGGAAGAAGCAAGGAAGCGCATGTGTATGGAAGCTGAGGACCATCTTGTCACGTTCTACCCAAGCTTTGAGAAGCGGATTCTTGTTTTGCATGAAGTCATTTCTGAGAATTATGTGGTTCCATTGATATTGCTGAAGGAGGCCATGGCAGATAAAACACGGAGGGATGCATTCAAGCGCGTGTATACGCAGTGGAAGAACGAGCGCGGGTTTTACATCAAACGGACCGTGCTCGAGGGGTTGGGGGTTCCTATGAGTGGCTTGCGGGCAGCGGAAATCCACATCGACACTGAGCTCAAGGAGGATCTCTGGGGGGAGTATGGCCCGAGTGAGTAAACACCTGCCTGACCTTTTCCCCCACCCTCCCCCCCTCCCCCTTGTTTCACCATCTCAGCCCTAGCACCCGTTTCTTGCAACACCCCATATTCTGTACTCCATAGCTTGGCATTTCCTTTACATAGGCCGTTGTAGAAACCTGTGATTCGCCAGCCCATCCACCCTCTTCCCTTTTCACACCCCACCCCTTGAACCACCTTCGTTCGAGTGTGTTGCAGGTGCGGACGCCCAACTGAGCACATGGGGAAATGCTGAGGTTACTGATCTCCCGTTCGGCAACGAGATCTTCTTCAACGCAGCAATGGACGCCTTCGGTGAATTTGCCGTGGGGAACGACATATGCTTGAAGGCGTATCATATTGCTTGGACTATCTTGGTGGTGAGTGGCTTGTGAGGGTCCTTTTACTTGTTTCTCATCCCACACTTTTCTCCTTGGTAAACCCGTGCCATCCCGTGTAAACCTTAAACCCCCGTGTTTCCACCTCCCTCTCAGGTGCTTCTTGAAACCTTGGTATCCACCTGCCCTCTGGAGTTGCGCCCACTCTGGGTTCACGCTTTCACTCATGGCCTTACGTTGTTTATATTTTTCACCAATCCCCTCACGACCATGCAGTACCCAGCAGTATCCTTCCCCTCCCGTGTTTCCGAACACTCTTTGGTTTCCTCTTCCTTTCAGAGGCTGCCCCACTCCTCTATCACCTTTCATGCTCACACTCATGGCGTACTTCACTGCATGTTGTGCTTGCCCCACATGATTCCGACCTCTCACACTTATCACGCTTGAATCTGTCCATGCTCCCCTTTCTTGACAATGCAGATAGACTACGGCTTGTCGAAGGTCAAGAAGTCGACAACGAACCTCACAAACTCCCACCGAAAGAACACGCGGTGGGTGGCAAGCATCCGCAGGGCGGTGAAGCGGGCGGTGACGGATCATTTCAGCCAGGTGAACCCTGTCTACGACCCATGGATGAAGGGGTTTAGGTGGGGGAATTTTGGCTTGTTTGTCCATGAGTCGGGGTTTGAGGAGTATAGGCCAAGACCACAACCCCGCAATCCGACAAGGAGGGTGGCGTCAGTGCATGTCTAGAGGAGATGAATGGTGGAATTGCAGTGCTCCGAGCTTGGAGTAAGAGCAGATGTGGGGACAGGGGAACCACAGCAGGGAGGGGAGGAGAGGAAACACAGCAGGGAGAGGAGCACGGGAACCACACCAGGGAGGAGAGGAGAGGAACCACAGCAGGGAGAGGAGTAGGAGAATCACAGCAGGGAAGGGAGGAGAGGAACCACAGCAGGGAAGGGAGCAGGGGAACCACAGCAGGGAAGAGAGGTGAGGAGTCACAGCAGGGAGGGGAGCAGGGGAACCACAGCAGGGAGGGGAGGAGAGGAACCACAGCAGGGAAGGGAGCAGGTGAACCACAGCAGGGAAGGGAGGGGAGCAGGGGAACCATAGCAAGGAGGGGAGGAGAGGAACCACAGCAGGGAGAGGAGCAGGGGAACCACAGCAGGGAAGGGAGGAGAGGAACCATAGCAGGGAGGGGAGCGTGGGAACCACAGCAGGGAAGGGAGGAGAGGAACCACATCATGGAGGGGAGGAGAGGAACCATAGCAGGGAGGGGAGGAGAGGAACCACAGCAGGGAGAGGAGCAGGGGAACCACAGCAGGGAAGGGAGGAGAGGAACCATAGCAGGGAGGGGAGCGTGGGAACCACAGCAGGGAAGGGAGGAGAGGAACCACATCATGGAGGGGAGGAGAGGAACCACAGCAGGGAGGGGAGGAGAGGAACCACAGCAGCGAGAGGAGCAGGAGAACCACAGCAGGGAAGGGAGGAGAGGAACCACAGCAGGGAAGGGAGCAGGTGAACCACAGCAGGGAAGGGAGGAGAGGAGTGACAGCAGGGAGGGGAGCAGGGGAACCACAGCAGGGAGGGGAGGAGAGGAACCACAGCAGGGAGAGGAGCAGGGGAACCACAGCAGGGAAGGGAGGAGAGGAACCATAGCAGGGAGGGGAGCGTGGGAACCACAGCAGGGAAGGGAGGAGAGGAACCACATCATGGAGGGGAGGAGAGGAACCACAGCAGGGAGGGGAGGAGAGGAACCACAGCAGGGAGAGGAGCAGGAGAACCACAGCAGGGAAGGGAGGAGAGGAACCACAGCAGGGAAGGGAGCAGGTGAACCACAGCAGGGAAGGGAGGAGAGGAGTGACAGCAGGGAGGGGAGCAGGGGAACCACAGCAGGGAGGGAAGGAGAGGAACCACAGCAGGGAATGGAGCAGGTGAACCACAGCAGGGAAGGGAGGGGAGCAGGGGAACCATAGCAGGGAGGGGAGGAGAGGAACCACAGCAAGGAGAGGAGCAGGGGAACCACAGCAGGGAAGGGAGGAGAGGAACCATAGCAGGGAGGGGAGCGTGGGAACCACAGCAGGGAAGGGAGGAGAGGAACCACAGCATGGAGGGGAGGAGAGGAACCACAGCAGCGAGGGGAGGAGAGGAACCAAAGCAGGGAGAGGAGCAGGGGAACCACAGCAGGGAAGGGAGGAGATGAACCATAGCAGGGAGGGGAGCGTGGGAACCACAGCAGGGAAGGGAGGAGAGGAACCACAGCATGGAGGGGAGGAGAGGAACCACAGCAGGGAGGGGAGGAGAGGAACCACAGCAGGGAGAGGAGCAGGGGAACCACAGCAGGGAAGGGAGGAGAGGAACCACAGCAGGGAAGGGAGCAGGTGAACCACAGCAGGGAAGGGAGGAGAGGAACCATAGCAGGGAGGGGAGCGTGGGAACCACAGCAGGGAAGGGAGGAGAGGAACCACATCATGGAGGGGAGGAGAGGAACCACAGCAGGGAGGGGAGGAGAGGAACCACAGCAGGGAGAGGAGCAGGGGAACCACAGCAGGGAAGGGAGGAGAGGAACCACAGCAGGGAAGGGAGCAGGTGAACCACAGCAGGGAAGGGAGGAGAGGAGTGACAGCAGGGAGGGGAGCAGGGGAACCACAGCAGGGAGGGGAGGAGAGGAACCACAGCAGGGAATGGAGCAGGTGAACCACAGCAGGGAAGGGAGGGGAGCAGGGGAACCATAGCAGGGAGGGGAGGAGAGGAACCACAGCAAGGAGAGGAGCAGGGGAACCACAGCAGGGAAGGGAGGAGAGGAACCATAGCAGGGAGGGGAGGAGAGGAACCATAGCAGGGAGGGGAGGAGAGGAACCACAGCAGGGAGAGGAGCAGGGGAACCACAGCAGGGAAGGGAGGAGAGGAACCATAGCAGGGAGGGGAGCGTGGGAACCACAGCAGGGAAGGGAGGAGAGGAACCACAGCATGGAGGGGAGGAGAGGAACCACAGAAGGGAGGGGAGGAGAGGAACCACAGCAGGGAGAGGAGCAGGGGAAACACAGCAGGGAAGGGAGGAGAGGAACCATAGCAGGGAGGGGAGCGTGGGAACCACAGCAGGGAAGGGAGGAGAGGAACCACAGCATGGAGGGGAGGAGAGGAACCACAGCAGGGAGGGGAGGAGAGGAACCACAGCAGGGAGAGGAGCAGGGGAACCACAGCAGGGAAGGGAGGAGAGGAACCACAGCAGGGAAGGGAGCAGGTGAACCACAGCAGGGTAGGGAGGAGAGGAGTCACAGCAGGGAGGGGAGCAGGGGAACCACAGCAGGGAGGGGAGGAGAAGAACCACAGTAGGGAGAGGAGCAGAGGAACCACAGCAGGGAAGGAAGGAGAGGAACCATAGCAGGGAGGGGAGCATGGGAACCACAGCAGGGAAGGGAGGAGAGGAACCACAGCAGGGAGGGGAGCAGAGGAACCATAGCAGGGAAGGGAGGAGAGGAATCACAGCAGAGAGGGGAGCAGGGTAACCACAGCAGGGAAGGGAGGAGAGGAGTCACAGCAGGGAGGGGAGCAGGGGAACCACAGCAGGGAAGGGAGGAAGGGAGGAGAGGAGTATCAGCAAGGAGAGGTGCGCAGGAGTAACAGCAGGTAGGGGAGCACAGTAGTAACAACATGAGGGCGAAGCAAGGATTGACATCAAGGGGGCGGGGTTAAGAAATAATAGCACAGAAGGGAGGATGCAGCAGGGAGTAGCATAGAAGGAAGCCCCAAGCAGAGTATGGACCTAGGGTTGATAGTGGGTAGTAGTAGCGCAGGTGTCATTAACCAAGGATGATTAGTAGAGTAGCTAAGAACCAGAGAATAAGTAGGCATCTAGTGTGTTGTAAACCTTTTCAAGCTAATATTATGATTTACACGTACATGCCTTCCCTCTTACGGTGTATTTATGGAAAGTGCTAAAGAAACTACCAACTGGGTTTTTCAAACTCTGATTATGTTTATTTTTAATACCCCATAATTCCTTTCCAAGATTATTATATGCATATAAAAATAAATTGCAAACCTTATCCAAGTCCAAAATTGAAGCACATAGTATGATTTAAACAAGTTATCCCAAACACAATGAGAAGTTCCTCACAACCATTTCCAAACTGTTTAAAAACACACCGATCATTGGCAAAGCATCTGACATATCATCTGGAAAAAGTTCGATACTTTCTTCTAAAAAAGTACCAACCCCTACATCTTCAAATCATATGCAAAAACACAACAAACACACTTCATGAGAGGTTTTCCGCCACTTGATTTTTGTGATGTAGTATTAGACTTCTTGCAGGACGATGGAAGTGGCGGAGCACGAAATGGTGGATCTCAGCTAAAACCATGTTGCCGACAAAGAGGAGGCCTCGCGTGTGACGCGCGTGGAGCCGGGGGGCGCCGCCATGACTCAGCGCGGCCCGATTTCGGGCGACGACGACGACCAGTGCGGTCCTTCGGACGATGCCGCTGCCATGGGATGGGAAGCGATTGAGATGACTTGGCTTGCCACTGCAGACGAAAGCCATATGAGGTGGCGTTCACTGCAGTCTTGGGGCCCAGATACGTGCTCCTGAAATATCTTGACATATGTGGCAACCCTAAACACGTCCCCTCTGCACTGTTGTTGCGGGAATTTTGCTCGTTACCCAATCCTAGAATAAAGATGGTGCCTACTACATACGAGAGTCGTGTGGAAAATTGTACACGTCGATAAGCAGCAAGTGTGTGTGGTTTCTGCTGCAGTGCGTGTGACGCGGGGAGAACTCCTCCTCCTTAACTCTCCTTCACAGGTAACTTCGCAACTCCTTGTGTGACCCTCGGCTGCCAACATGACCGTCGACTCATGGCAGCATGCAAATCGTGCACTCCAGCTCGACACCTCTATTCTTTCGTTTTGCCTTTCCCGTGTGCTAGTTGTCCAGAAATAATCATGGCGCTGTTCTGCTGGAGTTCTCGTCGCCACACCGTTGGCGGTTTGGTAACGACGTGTTGCGACCCACACGGATTGGGTCGACCACCCCCCGAGCCATCACTTCTAGGAAGGCTGCATCGCGGGTCTAGCCGAATAGGTCGAGCCAACCAGACCTGTTTGGGTCTGCCTGACTCGGGTCGACAAGGTCGGCTCAACCAGGCCAACCAGACCCAACCCAATCGAGCTGGAGAAGGTTACCATAATCTGCGAACTTCAGAAATCTCGCGCAAATGTCGCAAGGAAATTGACGGGAAATTCCGTGATTTCCCGAGTCGTGTTTCCGAAGATCATCTGGTCGGGTTGGGTTTAGCCGACCAGGTCTAGCCGACCCAACCCAATCTCTTTGGGTCGCAACACGTCATAAGGCAAATCAAGGAAACCAAGAATTTCCTGTTGCTTTCCTTGCAGATTCGAAGTAAAAAAAACGCACTTGCTGCGCTGGTGGAAGGTGGGCTGGGCAATGTTTGGCGATATAACCAAGGGTGCTGTTCTCCAGCAAATCGAAATTCTGAATTAAAATGATGACATCGGCATCGCAACCGCATCTGGAAGCGGAGGCGGAACCCACCTCAAAGGTTTGGACGTAATGCCACTCGAGAAACTTCTACTGCCGAAACGGGAAATTACGCAACTGCATCGGGAACCTTGTTGATATAACCAAGGAATCTAGTGGATAGGATAGAATCAGTAAGTCTGGGAGGAGACCAGAAGGCCTCTGTAGTGACCTTATTGAATAATAATTGAAAGAGAACAAGATGATTGAAAGATAGGAGTACAAGAGATTAAATAGAAATCTAGCTAGCCATGTACTCTGAGGGGTACATTCCCTTATTAACTGTATTGCATAGCCACAGTATCCGCGACTATTGCTATCATCGACAGTTACCACGTTGCAGTAAGCTAACTGTCGTGCGGTTACTGATCGTCAACGGTCACGACCTTTGACTTCCTTGAACGGTTGACCTTCGGGTGACCTTCGAACTTCCGCATGCTCTATATGAGCTATTGCGGTACTGGTACAGTGGTGCAGCTTCGGGAATACCTTGTATAACCTTTCGGTTATTCCAACACTCCCCTTCATTCCTGAAGGTGAGCCACGTGGGATTTCTTGGTGATTCCGCAGAGGTTGGCGCAGTGCTGGAACTGTTGACGTGGCAGCTTCTTTGTCAAGAAATCGGCTGCCATGTCACCGGTTGGGCAGTACGAGAGTTTAACCTTGCCCTTGTCGATTTCGTCCTTCATGAAGAAGTAGCGAAGAGCGATGTGTTTCGTGCGGTTCACGAAACCGGGCTTGTTTGCGATTTTGATCGCGCTCTGGTTGTCGCAGAGTAACGTGAAGTGCCCGTTCATCGTCACTTTCGCTTCCTGCAGGAGCTCCATCAGGTACAGTCCTTCGCGAACAGCTGCGCTGGCGGCGATGAATTCTGCTTCGGCTGACGAAAGTGCGATGAGCTCCTGCTTCTGAGAGTTCCAAGAGATGAGCCCAGCAGGCTGAAGTTGAAAAATGAATCCTGTGTGGGAGCGTCTATTGTCAACATCTCCGGCGTGATCAGCGTCTACGTAACCATGCAGCTGCAGAGTAGCCGTTAAGTTGGCTTCGTAGGTGAGACTGACGTCGGGAGTAGAGATGAAGTACTGTAGTGCTCGGCGAAGATCCAGTAGATTCTCCCCTTCAGGTCGCTTCAGGTACTGTGCGAGCTGGCTGGCGACGTAGGAGAGATCGGGCCGGCATGTGACGGCGGTGAACAGGAGACATCCCAGCTGCTGCTGATAGAGACGGTGATCGTCGGAGGAGAGCGGCGTGGTGTCTGGTTCGTGGTTAGGAGGAGGAGTGCGATAGGGTGTGGTGAGGTTGATTGGTGCGATGGAGAAGCGCTTTGCGAGTGTTTCGGCGTACTTGGCGGCGGAGAGATTAATGGAGGAGGCGGACTGGGTTACATTGAGACCGAGAAACTGAGTGACGTTGTGATTGACTGTCACCTCCAGCTTCTTCTTGATATCAGCCTCAAATTGGTTCAACAGCTCCATGTCGTCTCCGGTGTAGAGGAGGTTGTCGACGTAGGCGACGAGGAGAATGAACTTTCCGCGCGATTCCCGCCTGTACATTCCGAGGTCATGAGGCAGCTGAGCAAAGCCGAGCTCAAGGAGGACCGAGTGAAGGTACTGCTGCCACATACGAGGTGCTTGTTTGATCCCGTAGAGGGATTTCTGAAGGAGACACACCGCACCATCGTTTTCCTCGAATGTGTGCGGCTGTTCGACGAAGATGATGGCATCGACGGGAGCGTAGAGGAAGGCGCTTCCGACGTCAATTTGACGGAGTGGGCGCTACTTGATGGCGGCAATGCAGATGAGGATGCGCACCGAGGTGTGGCGGCCGACCGGGGCGTAAGTGAGTGTGAAATCCACCAGGTGCATTTGCTCAAAGCCCCGCACCACCCAGCGTGCCTTGTATTTGTCGATCGAGCCGTCAGCGAGAGTTTTGATGCGGAAAACCCATTTGCCGCTGAGAATTTTTCTCCCCTTTGCCGATGACCGTGGGACCAACTTCCAGGTGCCGCGCTTCTTCAGCGACGCGAGTTCGGCGGCCATGGCTGCTCTCCATTTTTCACTGTCGGGACCAGATAGGGCCTGGCGGACGGTGGTTGGTTCCTTGGGGGAGGTGTGGCGAACAGCGACGGCGAGCCGAAGGACTCGGAGACCAGTTTCGCTGGTCTTTTCGTAGTGCAGGCGATCGTAGTCGTGGAAACTGGTTACTTCGACCACGTCGTCGTCACTTTCGTTATCGGGGCGGATGGAGTCCCACGAAGTGTTGGGTTGTGGTAACTCAGCATCAGGTGATCGGCGCGCTTCACTGTTGTAGTCATGAGCCACGCGCGTAGTGTTGTCGGGATCAGGTTGGTGTAGAGGGACGAATGTTGGAGTCTGGAAGGGGCTTGTAAGGGGGATGTTGGGGGCCCTGTCAAATTGGGAGACGTTTGTCGCGTCCACGTCTTCCGCCAGGTCAGCTTCATCGTGTGGAGTGGCGAAGCTGCGGTGTCCCTCGAAAACCCTTTCCGGTACCCTGTCAGCTTCGCGGTGTTCGTTGAACAGTGGCAGGGTCAATTTCTCGTAGAAGATGCAGTCACGTGATCACGTCACTTCGTGTGTCGCGTAGTCCAGCGCGATCCACGCCTTGTATTCTGTTTCGATTCCGAGGTGAATGCCCCAGCGAGCTCGGTCAGCAAATTTTCCGGTCCTTGCTGTGTGTGGTCTGTACTGTACCATGCAGCCGAACACCCGAAGCAAGCGAGTGTCTGCCTTTCTGCCCGTCCAGGCCCTGAAGGGGGAGTTGTTGTTCTCGAGGCTTCGAGATGACAGCAAGTTGTGCAGTCGGACTGCATGGTTCATGGTGAATGGCCAATAGC